TGGAAGGTTCACTCAATTTCTCGATAAGTTTCACGATGGAAGGTTCACTCTTAAGTGATCGCTCGTAAATTTGTCTCTCCAAATATTCACTCTTAAGTTTTCGCTCATAAACTAGTGCATCGTAAAGGTTGGGGAACGTGTCGTTCCCCAAAAAGCTATAATCTTTCTCTTGACTGTCTGACTGTCCTCCATGCCTCGTTCTTTTCAAAATGGCGGATAAGATTTCAATGAGCCAGCGATATATCTCAGTCAGCTATATATCCCTAACAATGTAACGTTGAAAAAACGGACCGTCTGCATTTTAAGACCGGTGCCAGCCTTCGGCTGGTCCCCGGTAAAAAGCATCTTTTGCAGGATATTAGCTCAACCAAGCAGTGCTGATTTTGCACTTTAATCTCAATTAGACTTTCAAGGTGGTGATACATATTATTACGGGGTATTATTATTTCATAAAAGTGCTAATAACAGTAATGAATACAGTCGACTCTCTCTTAACGGACACCTCTATAAGACGGACACCTCCCTAAAACGGACACCTAGAGTTGGTCCCTACCTTTCTTTACTCCCTTCATTTGACTCTCTATAAGACGGACATCTAAGACGGACACTTACTGCCGGTCCCAAAGGTGTCCGTCTTAGAGGGAGTTGACTGTAGGTTCTAACATTGATTTTATAGTAACAATTATTATTATTATTGTTATTATTATCATTATCACTCAACTGAAATACAAACTTTCAACACTCATGAACCCCTTTCAATCAAAACCCCAGCTCTCCATGCAAAGGTACAGTAAATACATGTATAGCTCTACTGTATATCAGACTGCACAGGAACTTCAACTGTTCTTATTACAAGTACCTCGTCATGACCCATGCTAGATGGACTGATGATTTTTCCAGCCAAAAGGAACAATTCATCTATATCAGCATCATAATCATAACACTCTCCTTCCATGTAAAAGGCTCTCTGATTATTACAGAGCTCAGAGTCTGCAAAACAATAACACAACAACAAAACCAGAAAACAAAATTGAACTACAACATATACACCTGTGCCTTATTGTAGGAAATTAACAGAGGGCTTATAACCAGACTATTAACAAGACAGTGTTTCAAAATACTTTTTTTGAATTTCATTGCTTTTTTAAGCAACAAAATGTTGTAAAAAATTGAATTCATTTCAAAACAAGCTAGCCAGGGACTTATAATAAATAAGACTACATATCGGCTGATTTGAATACAGGATTTTCTGAGGAGTTTGATTCAATGAATGGTGGTAAAACCAAAAATCAATGACTTGACAGACCTTCTGAGTTATTTCCTGTGGACCAGCTAACAATCCTTCTGCCACAGTCTACTGAAACTGACTCTAACACAAGAACCTTAAACCAAATTGCAGGTTCCAGTGACTGAGACACATCTTCACGAGATTGGTGTGTGAGGCTACTACCAATGCAAGGACAAAATCCATCTTGAAGATGCACGTCTGTTACCCAGCGCCGTTGATGTCCATCTTTTAAATAGATATGCATTGCAATTCTAGCTCTCTGTAGAATCTGTGAAATGCAAATCAAATAAATATTTTATTGATGCATTATTAGTGATGTAATACATTAATGTAAATACATATACATACTTTATTGACTTTCCTCATAGAGGCTTTACAAAGACGATAATTTAAATAAATTACATACAACTAAAAAGATAATAATTTACTACAGTTAAAACTTACTTTAAGGATGCTAAAAATATTTACAATAATATTTTATCAGAAGTATAATGTACTTCAATTAATACAAAAAAACAACTTAAAAACGCTAAGAAAAATATTTACACTAAAATTTAGTTGACATGATAAAATACTAAAGAATCTATAAAATCCTTGACAAGATTACGCTTCAGATTGAACTTAAACTCAGATACTGACCCAAGAGTCGTAAGATAGCTATCCATTAAGTTCCAGATACTGACTATTCTACATAATGACTATAAACAATGAACCTCTTGAAGGTGAAGTCCATTCTCAGATTAAACCAGTATTCCACCTGGTTCGATTCTAAATGTTCTTCATTTCCTGGCCCCAATTAAGGGTAGATATATGGGAAACAAAGGGAATCCTGGTTTTATTTTAACGTGAAAACAGATTTTAGCTACAACATACCAAAATATGAAACAAAAGAACCCTTTATTTGGAAAGCCAGTTTTCATTCAATTAATGAAAATATTATTTTTAAAAGGTATGTGTCTTGACACAGTATTATCTCTTGGTCACAGAAAAAGAGATAATCTACAGCTGTACATGTAGCTTAATAGAACAATGCATGTAAATGTTCATGTACCAGAACTTTGTTGTCAATCCAGTCTGTAATCATATTCATGACTAAACACATCATGCTCGCCATCCAAATTTTTTTAACTCACTGTATGATTACACTCCTATTAATAATATTATTCTTCATACAACTCCCTCACTAATCACCCGGTGATAAATAATAATCTTACCCAATAACTAGAACATTTCCTGAAACAAAAAAGGATTATGGCCTGAGCCTTACTTCAGCCTTATTAAAACTAACTTTAGTTTTTGGGCCTTTGGACGAACTGTTTGTTTCGTATTTCCCTTTGAGCTTAATCATTCACAAACTTAATATAAACTTAAGCTTAACAATAAAATTTAACGTTCACGACTATTATTAACTACCAATAAAAAAGAGCTTGTCAGATAAGTTTTGAGCGGCAGCTTGTACCTCAAATACCTATTTTTGTGAGAGAAGCTAGAAGGCTCTTCGCCCGTTTATTGGAAGGCAAAAGGTCAAATGGTAATCATGCATGCAAAATATGCCGCACGTTCGCTGATCAATTTGATTTTTACGATTATTTGTACACCTTGATCGGTATCATTTACGGTTTGAAACTATTCTTGAGCTTCACCATCTCATTTTTACCATATTGGTCACTGTTCTTACCTTATTTCGCTATCTTTTCTTCAGATTACGTTGACTGCTATATTTGGCTTGTCTTGTTGTTGACTTCTAGCTGTGTTCGAGGAAACTTTTTCAGGACGCTTTAGTCGCATGATCTTGGATCTTCCGATTTAGCGTATTACTGAACTGATACTCACTTCCGAAAGGAGTCTCTTTTTAAAATGCAAGATGACTTTGATACTTACAAGGGCGTAAAATCAGCCAAAAAATATTGACCACAGTTTTCCCACCGCTTCTGTAGTGACGGAAGTTGCAAAATACTATTAGCGTTGCAGAGAATCTTGGGAAATATTACTTTCGAACATTCTACGCATGTGTGATATTTTCCCGCCAAAAAAACTGGATCAGGCTTCCGTCTTCGTTTCTTCAAATTTTTACTATTTACAAAGTGATTTAATCCACGAAAGCCCATCAACGAGTATCATTTTGGACAGAATGTGATAAACATTAAAACTGGAAATTATTTGGTGAACTTTGGACCAGAGAAAACTCATGATAATCAACTCAGGATAATCCAATATGGCGGATGCGAATTAACTGCTAACTTATCGTCAATTTCAAGCGTTGGAAAATGGCGAGTGGTGAAGATCGCGTTCTGAGATTTATTAGCATTGATAACACGAGGGACAGTAATCTTCGGCGGGCTTCGGAAGCTTGCAAAAAATACAAACTAGATACCGAATGGATTTCTTCGGGTGATTTAAAAAATCTAGATTTGAAGCCGAAGAAATCCGTTTTTGTTTTAGAACGTTTTGAAGGCGAAGATTTCGAGTTGTTAAAGGAGAATGCTTGCAGTATTGTTGGACCGCAATGCCTTTTATCTTGTCTGAAAACCGAAACTGCTCTACCAAATTTACAGTATCCGGTGTACTCTGTGGCCATGCGTGGTACTGTTGTAACATGCACAAGTGTCCCAAGACAGGAAAGGGATCAACTTTATGATCTTATTAAGCTCATGGGAGGAACTGTGTCAAAGGATTTTACCAATTCAGTGACTCATCTTGTGGCTGGTGAAGTAGGCTCACAGAAATACCGTGTTGCCTGCAATGTAAACAAACCAATCTTATTGCCTGAGTGGGTTTACACTTGCTGGGATATGTGTCGTAATGACCACATATGTGCAACAGATGAAGAATTCATGAAGTTGAGATGTCCAACGTTTAAAGGTATCACTCTCTGTGTGACAGGGATTGAGGCAGACAGACGCAAAGAAATCAAACGACTTGTTACAGACCATGGCGGAACATATTCTGGGGAACTGAACATGAACACCTGCACACACCTTCTTGTTGACACACCAAAAGGAGAAAAGTATGAGTTTGCAAGACGATGGAATCTACACTGTGTTTGTACACAGTGGTTCTATGACTCAGTTAAGTCAGGTTTCTGTCTTGATGAGTCAGACTTTTACACTCTTCCTGATGATGAAAACAACAGTTCTCAAGCTGGGCGAAGAGTATCTTATGGTTTAATTAAAGGTAACAGTGCTGTTTCTTCTAAAACCAACACTGACAAGGAAATTGCCAATAAGGCTGCTGAAGCAGCATACAAGAGTGCTCAGAAACATGGAGATAACGACCTCTTAAGTAGTTCTGGGAATAAAAAATCATTGTCAAATCAATCAAAACGGTTTGATAATGTCTCTAGACTAGGAGAAACACGTTTAGATGACACACAAAGCTCAGACTTTGATGTACGGCTCCAACCTGGTAACATGTTTTTGGATGGATGCAAGATTTATCTAAGTGGATTTAGTGGTCATAAACTGGAGAAGCTAAGGAAGATTATTAACTGTGGAGGAGGGACCAGGTTTAACCAGATCAATGAGATTGTATCTCATGTTGTTATTGGAGACAGAATTGATACAGACCTTGATTTGTTGAGGAACTGTGATTTCCAGGGGTTTGTTGTCACTGTTCAGTGGATTTTGGATTCTGCAAGAGAAGGAAAAAAGTTGTCCGAAGAAGGCAAGTACTGGACAGATTTCCCTTTTTTAACCCATAGCATTTTGCAGTGCCTTACATGCATTCTGATCACAGTCTCCCCCTTCATCACATTATTAAGTTGTGTTGTCTTAACACTGCAGGGTTTAAAATAATGACAGGTCAAAGGAGAGTTTTCGGCCAAGGTGACCATTTTTCTGAAAAAAATTTTCAGGTGGCTTGTGATTTTTACTGGTCAGGTACATGGCTTTCAAATAAATAGCTCTAAAAATAAAACAGCAAATTACAAAAACATGGTTATATCTTTTGAAAATATTTTAGCTGCTGGCAATCACAAAATTTGGAGAATACAGTACATGTACTGTTTTTGTCGTGTCACTGTTCTTCAAGATTCATTAATTAATTCTCAGTTTCTCAGTATTCTAACAGTTCAAGATAATTAGCATTCACGCGTTGAAAGCAGCTCGCCTCTTTCACTTCTACATTTCGAGGATTAATACTGTGATTTACAAAATGATTCGTTGAAAAGGTAAAACCCAAATATTCTTATGAGAAATTCGCTCAAAAGATGAAAAACCTCTTAGAAAAAACTATTTACACTAGCATGAATTATCTCCGGGTCTTCGTTTCTAAATCTGAATTCTTCTGTTCATGTCCACTGCTACAATCTTGGACAAAACTGTTGAGAAAATGTCACATTCTCAGACCATTTTTCCTAACATTCTCGCTATACCGCCTCCTCCCTTCCCCCCTCCCCTTGGAAGCAATGTTGTTGTGTGTTCTAAAGCAACCCTGATCCTTAAACATTTGTAGGAAACAACATTGACCTGGGGGAAGGGGAATTTGGTACCGCAAATCAGTTGTTTTTGAAATAGTGTTGTTGCGTTACATAGTGTGCATGGAGGGGTAAAAATTCTCAAGTAGTTTTGTCCGGGATTGTAGCTCAAACTGAATTTTTGAGCTATTTTGAAAAAATAGCTCATATGTCAGTGGTGTGAGCATATGTATCTTTGTGGCTTTGTATCTTTGTATGTTGGGATGTTTGTTGCAAGAGCCAATAAGGTTGAAGGTACTATGAGTTGATGCTTAGGAACCAATGAGATCTTGGCTTCTATTTAAACATGGCATTGGTAAAGGTCGAACAAGGGCACTTTGAGACCGCCATCTTGATTTTTCACAATTTTTTCGTCTTTTATTACGGCTACAGGTGTGTTGTATTAAATATCTTCATGATTCAAACACTGTGTACAGTGATGCAGCTGTTTAAGGGTTCATATTTTAGTATGGATGCTGTTTTAAGGCATTTCTGACCTAATTCGGCTATCGGTACAACGCACGTCAGTATGAGTCCTGTTTCACCTGCTACAACTGGGTAGAGTATAAAAGATCATATATTTTCAAAGCTCTTCCAATGAAGCAGTAATTGATATTTAGATATAGACTTTAATTCGAAAGTATGCGCCCTATAAAATGTGGTTTTAGAAGGTTAAAAAGGCAGCTTATTTTTGTGAAAGCTGTACTGAGTATTGTTAATCCTGTAAACAAGCTTTAAAAATATTATTCTCTCGCTTACAAAGTTCAACAGACCTTTTTCGTTCTGGCAAAACGAAAAAAAAAGAATAATAAGTGAACAACATGATACATCCTTCCTGCATACTAAGTATTATAGTTTCTGAAACGTATTTTATTTAGTAAAGATGCGTAACTTAAGTAGAAACAGTAGCGTTGGGGAATAAAATTGGAAGAGGCTAGTTGACACAATAATTAGATACTGTTGTATTAAGTGGAGTAACATGATACAAGTACAAATATAATTTCAGCAGTTTGATAATTTTCTTGGAAGTTAATAAATGTTAGGCTATCAACCTTGACGTTGCATGAAACATAATTTAATTGCAGATGTTGTAATAAAGCCGAGGTGATTTCTTAAAATCACAAAATTTTGTAGTAAAACAATTTGCCTTTTTTTTTTACGTACGGATGGTAAAAGGGCCAAAGACCAACATCTTCAGATGCAAATTGTGTGCATGAGTTATTTTTATAATTCTGTTTACTAGATTACTGTGTGATAACTCGAACTCCCTCACGTACGAACCACAAAAGGGGCAAAGTCCAACATTTTCACGTGCCAGCTGTGTGACTGTACATCTCATGCAGATTGGCTTTTCACAATAATAATAGTAACTTGGACATATGAAGACCTGTTTCGTTTAGTAACTAATGCCCTAAAAAAGGCTCTTGTCTTTTAAGAAGCAATAGCTTCTAAAACATGAAGAAATAAGTTGTCGGAGTTAAAGACTGTCTCACAAATGTTAATAAATGTTAGGTTATCAACCTTGACGTTGCATGAAACATAATTTAATTGCAGATGTTGTAATGAAGCCAAGGTGATTTCTTAAAATCGCTTGAGAAAATTTTGTAGTAAACAATTTGCCTTTTTTTTTTACGTATGAATTGTAAAAAGGCCAAAGACCAACATCTTCACATGCAAATTTTGTGCAAGGGTTATTTTTATAATTCTGTTTACTAGTTTACTGTGTGATAACTCGAATTCCCTCACGTACGAACCACGAAAGGGGGCAAAGTCCAACACTTTCACGTGCCAGGTGTCTGACTGTACATCTCATGCAGATTGGCTTTTCACAATGATAAATAGTAACTTGGATGTATGAAGACCTGTTTCGTTTTGTAACTAATGCCTTAAAAAAGGCTCTTGTCTTTTAAGAAGCAATAGCTTTTAAAACATAAAGAAATAACTTGTCAGAGTTAAAGACTGTTTCACTGAGTAGAATCGCATGTGAAAACCTCGTGAATTATGATGATGCAACCATCTACCTCAATGACAAAAATCCTGGTATTTTGTAACTATTCAGTATTCAATGAGTCACATTTTGGCTTAAGAAACTCTGAGGAAACCCTAGAGTTTTTCTTCTAATCAATGTTTGGTGAGTAGAAATTTATTTTACTTTAACAATTCGTTTAACTTGCACCAGATGTAACAGGGAAAGACAGAGGAAAGTGAATATATAGGTAGAGGATCGACTCAGCTGAGCGTTTCGTGTTTTCATTTATGTAGCGCGATACCCAATTTTGCACAACAACCCAAATCTACATTTAGGATGAAAAAGGTAGATTCATCACTCTTGGTAAGGTTACACTGAAGTATTAAAGTTACACTAAAGCATTCAAAATAGCTCATGCACGTTTAACATGCCTATGTTTAAATTAGCGCTAAAATGCCTTTAGGGAATTTAGGGGACGCATCGCTAACGGCAACAGATTTAATTTATAACGTGTACACTGAGTAGAGTTGGCTACATTCTGCGTCTTTGTGAATGCCACTCAGCAAAAATATTACTATTTCTCTGAAGAAGAAAAAATTCCATATTTTTACCAGTCAAAAGTAAGCCAGGGCCAATCTAAAATTTGTTTGGCCAGTCAACATGATGAGCTACTGTCCAAAAAGTATTTTAAGTATGAGACTGATTTGATTATCATCTGAAAATTATGCATTAATGTCTTTCACCAAAATATTAATGCTTCAACAAGCCGTGACTTTTAGTGCAGACATTCCGGAGGAAAACATTTTGTTGTTGCAAAAGTTAAGACATCTCTAACCTCTTCATAATTAGTACAAATTAATTGAGACCCTGGGTACAATCTACCTGTGAACAAAAGTGATGTTTTACTTCACCCCATGGCAGTAAACATGTAGCAGATTGTGATGTACATATGCCCCTCATTTCCAATGAGGACCCCAGAATTTGAACCCTCTGAGGAATCACTGATTAGCACACAAGGGTCCAATGATTTTGAGCTACAAAAACAGAGGTATTGATTACGGTCAGGCTCAGCATCCTTCAAGAACTGGTAATTTCGCCAGAACCAATGTTTAACTGTCTTTTGCAGATTATCTCTGTTCTGATGGGATTCAACATCAGGAGCTTTCTCCTTCTTGCAAGGAAAATGAAGATCCAGAGGAAAAGCTTTTAAAAACGTCAACAAAAAAGGTGGCACCATTACAGAAACTTTCTGATAATAAACAAGATAGTAAGATAATGCATGAGGATGATGCATTTGAAGATGATGATGTGTTCCAACAATACTTGCCACACAATATGGACTCTACTGAGAATAATAATCATGGCACAGAGCAACAAGTCCACCTGCAGAGTGATGGCGGCCAGGGCAAAGGTAAGTTTAATTCAACCTGAGATTATTTTATTCATGAAGGAAAACAGAAAAGATACATCTGACAAGCTCTTTGATGTTAAGTCGTTAGTTTGTACAAGTCTTACAGATGGAGAAATACATCACAGATGTGACCAATCAGAATGTGCCATGGACTGTGTTTGATTTCCCTTCAACTAAATAGATATATTGATATACATATTAATTTTTTGTAATGCTTAAGTAGTCATAATGTGAAATAGATTGTCCTATTTAAAAGTTGTAAGAAATATCAATTATTAGAGACAAATTCTCCACAAATGCACATAATTTGTTGGAGAACAACTTGCCAAATGCCCGGGGAGATCAGATTTTTGTTGGTCAAGTTAAATGCCAGTTAAAATTTTTTCACCAACTCAGTTGATTCGCTCCTCCTATTGATAATAAGGGCAATGAGACAAATGAAATTGAGAATCAAAATAGCTTACAAAATGTTAACCTGAATTTAATTTTGATGTATAACATATACAGCGTATGTTACAGGTCAGAATTAATTATATTCTGGTTAAAATTCTTTAACCTGGGAAGGTTGATTCTTAATTCTCTTTGTTTCCTAGCTCTAATTTATGAATAATCGGTGCCAGGCAATGAAGATGTATAAGTCACAGTCTTTTTTGTCTGTCTTGTGTAAAGGACCGTTTTTCAATACAGACTAGTGGGAAACTTGTTTGGTGCACTGTAAAGCTGAACTAGTCCCTTAAACATGACTTCTGGGATCTCTGGGCTCCTTCTGATTCTTCAAAAAGCACAGCCTTGATGTCTAGTACTTTGACCTGATGTGACCTGAAAAGTATATTTTACGACCATTTTTTTGGTTCCACTCAGATCATCCTATTACTAGTACAGATCCTGATGCCACACTTGATGAAGGTGATGAACCACAACAGGATGGTGGTTTACTGGAGGGTAGAAGCTTTATAGTGGTTGGGTTTGATGAACATATAGAGCGCCTTTGGCAAATCATAGAAAGCAATGGTGGAAAGCGAGCCAGTGAGAGGCAAACGGCAGACTTTGCTATTTTCCCTATGAATACAGTTCCTGAAGGTAGAATACAAGCCAAACAATTGGTAAGACAATTTTTTCTATTTGCTCCATTAGGACTGTTTTTGTGATTGATAATTATTATGTGAAATTGGGCCTTTTTGCATGAACCCACTCTGTTTCAATGTACTAGTGTCAGCAGTACTTGGGTTGAATAAAGAATGATCAATGGAAGTAAAGGAACCTCAGATTGAGTCCATGACATGACATTGGTTGGTTCGTGCTTTTTCAGTGTTCCAATATTCTCCTGCAGTGTATTGTTGTTATTTTAGTGTGCTTCAGTATAAGTTTGAATTTTAATATTTACTTTCCTCACCTCATTATTAGAAGTTTGAAAGATTAAAAATAAAGTTGAAGTAGAACCTAACTCTTGTTTTAGAAGCTGTATGGATGTAATGCACTAGTGCCAGTCAAAGTTGCTGCGCTTCAGCTGGTAAAATAATTTGATGTCTCTTTTCTTATGCTGTAGGCAACATTCTGTTGGTTAGAACAGAGTATAGAATGTGGCCACCTTTTAGAACTAGATAATAGCTTCTTATTCAAGCCCTTCAGTATTCCCAAGGGATGTCAGCCACTCAAGGGATGTGTGCTGTCGATCAGCCAGTACACAGGAATGAAGAGGGATCACATGTATCAGCTGGCTGAGCTGCTAGGTTTGTTTAATTAAAAATAATAATAAATGAATGATTAATGATTTTATGGTAGCACTTCTACTTAGTAGTTCTTCGTCTATGTAATTCCTGGCTGCATTGGAATTTGGAAATGTTGGTTTTTGAAAAGAGGGGAAAGCCTGAGTGTCCAAGGAAGACCTCGTGTAGAAAAGGAGACATACAGCAGCAAATTCAACCCATACATGTATATATGTGGCATTAATGTTACTGGTCAAATTTGATTTCTGGTTAACTTTGATTTGACCTAGGTTGATTCTCAATTTCCTTTGTCTCCTAGCCCTAATTCATGAATAATAAAGTTTAGGAGGCAAAAAATTTAAAGTCAATGTTATTTTGACCTGTAGCATAGGTGTTCTTGGATTTAAACATCAACTTGATTGGCATTGTAAATACCCTCTGATGCCTCAGCAAATAATTCTTTGTGCTCTTTTGGGAGCAAATTTATTTTGAATTCAGATCAATGATGTCTACAAACAAAATGTATTGAACAATGGATTGTCATTTTAATCAGGTGCCAGCTGTCAAGAATACTTTGTTCGTAAAGCAAGTCGGAACTACCAAGCGAGCACTCACCTGCTATGCCAAACTCCTGATGGCAAAAAATACTCAGCAGCAGTGAAATGGAACTTGCCTGTTGTTAGTCAGCAATGGCTATTTGCCTGTGCCGTGAGAGGAACTTTGGTTTCTGTTAGTGAATTCCCAGTTAGCAAAGACCACGTAAGCATTCCTAGTAAAGCTGATGCTAACCCAGTGGAGCGAATGACTGAAGATAGGTCAAGTTCTAAAGAAAGCACCAAGGATGACAATGAAAGAACTGCACAAGAGGAGGTTCGTTTGGAAACAGATGATGTGCTCTCCACTGAATTTCCTGCTTTGCCACACAAAAAAGAAACTACAAATGCTGCTAAACCCATTGCTGATGGTAGCAGTGCTTTGAAACAGCCAATCAAGAGACCATCCATTTACAGTCGTCCATTTAGACCATCATTTGATTTGGCTGATGTAATGGAGGAACTGCAATCTCCAGCATGTGCCAGTCTAAGAAGTAGGAAGAGTCGTGGTAGCAGAAATAGTTTCCCTCTGGATGATTTTTTTGCTGAGAACATCAAGCAGACCCTCCAAAAATTTGGGACTGTTGCTCCTCCTACAAGAGAAGGTGAAGATGATGGAGCTTGGACAGCATATGATGAACAGCAAGGAGAAAAGGTAAATTTTAGGTCACAGCTTATTTGGTTTACTGAACTTTTAAGGTTACAAGATTACTTGTTATTGTTGCCTGCCATCTTGAATCCCTTCCCTAATTGAACTTCACTGAACTTTATTGAAATTTGCCACAGTGACTGAACATGGAGGTAGGGGACAAAACATGACTTACTTCCCACTTAAAATCAACCCCTTCATTACCCACCCAGCAAGGTTTTAGCCAGAAGGGTGTCCAGCCATCCTACAAATGCCCATTTTTGAAAGAAATAAAAGGAAAATTCACTTAATCTCTTATAATTTTATGGGAAAACATGCCTTCTGGATGGCTAGTTTTCAAAGTCTGGCTAAAAGCCTGCCACCCAGACCATTAAAGGTTGTCCCACACCACCAGGATCTATGCCCCCAACTCTTAACAAACAGCAGTGTGGATTATTTCATGTCACAAGGATCAACAGTGAAAGAGCTGTGGGACGGGTCCCACAGTTTTTTGTCCTTATCCAAGAAGACTAGAACGTCTAACCATTGTAGATGTCACAACAAAGGCTTCACATTCTCCTCAGTTGATTTACATTTTAAGACCCTGAGTATAGGTTCAGCGGGGGTTTGAACCTGCAGCCTCCCATTCGGCAGACCAGCGCTTATCCAGTTGAGCTAACCAGGCAGCAGACTCATTTCCTCTTCCTGTTATACCCAGTGAAAAGGCATGTCTCTGGTAGCACTTTGAAAGATTTGTTTATCATTTTGCTAGGCTACTTACAACATGACCTGGCAAGGTTATTTAAACCCAAATAATTTTTTGTTCAATGGTGCTTAACAGATAATTTAAAATGCCTGTAAGTGCTTCCCTTAAGCTGTTGATTTCTGAATCTGCAGGAAATGGATGAAACCAATCAAAGGATCCTTGCTGGTATTGTGTTATCAGTCAGCAAAAAGTTAGCTCAGCAACAAACAGAGTTGTTTACCTTGGCAACATCTTTTGGTGCTGATTATCGTTGGCTTTATGATGAGTCATGCACTCATCTTGTTCACCAGGTGACATCATTGTTTGTCAAGTTGTGATAAGTTCAAGGTTTTAGAATTATCAAGTGTTAGAATTATTTTCAAAACTTATATAGATGAGATTTGCAACATTAAGGGTATATTTTCTGGCTAACTGGATGTAACAAAGCAGCCTTTTTTGTTTTTTGCCCATGTGCATAAGCCAAAATGTTTTGTTTTTATTTCTGTGTAACTCTGTCATGATTGGTCAGAATTTCCAAAATGAGGTATTGGTGGAAATATCTATCCTTGCTGATGCTGCTGCTTTTCAACTTAGTAGCTCAAACTGAAAGCTAGGGGCCCAGAAAGGAAAATATGCATGGTTTTCTGTGGAACCAAAGCAGTCATCAAAGTGTTAATTTGCATCTTTATTTCAGGGCTCAGCCAGTGACAAAACAAAGGAATACACCCAAGCCAAGGATCGAGGGATTTTCATTGTGTCTCCACATTGGCTCTATGCCTGTCAGGAGAAGAATGAAAGAGTGGATGAGAGCATGTATCCACACACCTTTAATCCTAAACTTAGTCTTCCTGTGCTTACTACGGGTAGAAGAATGACCAGATCCTCCAAAGCTGTGAGTATGTTACGGCTCAGTTTCATGTTTGCTTGACTGTTTCACATTCTTATCTATTTAAAACAGGCTTCGGGATTTTGATGTTCCTCCCCTTCCCCCCTCCTCAAAGTTGATTATGATGTGACTAGTAAAAAAGTTCTATTTTGGAAGTCTGTTGTCAAGGTCCTTTGGTGTAACCACAGCATGCAATGAAAGTCGTGTCCAGGACTAGTGGATTTTGCAATCAGGCTAGTGAATCCTGTTCTCAACTTGCCCAAAGGGCAAGTGAAGTTTTTTGGGAAGTTCAAATTACAGAAGAACTGGAATCAATGCTGCTCATCAAAAATTTTTTTGGGGCTACTTAAAAGACTCTTTGGCTAGTACATACTAGCAACGACTTGCCCAAATGGCACGCCGTAAAACCGACTTTCTTTGCGCCCTGAACCATTTAACTGAAACCTTTTTTGGAGTTCTGGCTTGTAATATCATTTGTTTTCCAGTATTTTGCAAAATAAAATTGATGTTTTCTTGAGGGGTATGGGTTTCAGTTGTCTGCAACACGAACCTAGCGTTTGCCCTCTAATGCTTATCTTTACACATATCTTAAAGTGGCATTGAAGTTGAGCTTAAATTGTCTTTGTTGTAAACTCTAGTCAACAGTGGAACAAGAAATGTCACCTCAAAAGAAAGGAAACTCAGCCATAACTGACAAGTGTGATCCAAGTGACTCAGAACAACCAAGTAAGACAAGTGAAAATATGGCAGAGAATGAACAGAATAAAGACATAGCAGTTGGGGAACTAGGCGTGGCAGAGAGTACCACAGAAGAGGTGCAATGTGATCCTCAAATGGGTGCTGGCACTTTGGAATCACTGGAAGCACAAGAAGACTTTAAGAGACAGCTTGAAGCTATCATGGGTGCTACTAAGGTATACTTACCATGAGGAAAATGTTATTAACATGTCAATACATCTTTACTTGGATGTTTATTTGTTTAGGCAGCCACTACGGTCAAACTTGTATTAAGTGGTTACCCTTGGGGAATAGATCAAGACTTTTAGATGCATGGACGAGAACGACTACGAGTACATGTTTGCTTCACTAGTTTGACTGTAACAGTTTAACCCATTATTGGCCATTGGTCATTTAAGACCATTATTGGATTTAAAGGTTAATCTTGTGTTTTGTACATTACTGTGAATTTAACTGAAACTGCTTCTCTACTCAAACAAGTAATACTTCTTTCAAGGGAAAAGGGAGAAGAAGAAGCCGACGCAATACGTCATCAACTAACTCGAGCCTTGCCTCCCACAATGCTTCAGGAAGTGGTGCAGCAGCTAACATGTCACTAGCAACAAGGCGGACATCATCACGGCTTAGGCTCCGTTCTAAGGTATTTGTCCTTTCAATTTCTTTCTTGGTCTTCTTTTTTTTTGTATTTTTAGTTTGCTAGAACATTTTTCTGTTTGCCCTGTTAACTGGTGCAAAACCCAACAGATCTTGAAGTAACTGTCAATCTCCTGTCTACAGATATTAATATCAAAAATCGTTTGCTGTAGTTTTTTAGCTCTTATGTTTCTACATGTACGATACAAGATATGTTCTGTTGTTATTTTATACTATCTGACACCTAGAGAGACGTATATGAAACAGAAAGCTGTGTTGGAAGGGTGACAACGGGCAGAAATTGATAGTGATGCATGTAGATTTTACGATGAAACATTTCTTTCTACGTGTACGTGATCCTCAGTAAGTTTTTTTTTCTTGTTAGAAAATGCTCTACTCATTGATATTTATTCATCTTTGTTTAGGCTGCTGATGTTGACAGTAACAAATCATCATCAAGAATCAAATCCAGTTTTATGGCGGTGACAGATGAAAGTGAGCACTCTCAAAGTGATACAATAACTTATGATGATCCGGCCGGTAGGATGGAGCGAGAAAAGATCATGGCACAGCTCAAAAGGGGTTGTAGTCCAAGTCCTGATCTCACAGCAGAAGAGGATGAGGAGATTAACACAACAAACAAGGTAGGTATTCCTCGAGAAGCGTGGCCGAGCGAGATTTGTTAATTTCTCGCACGCTTAGCGCGTGGAACGGGCGTCGATCGTAGCGGCCTGCAAACTCTTGTGGACCATTCTCTATTTTCCAATTCCCCATAATACACTCTGTTTGCCCCCCAAATTTTGCATAAACCATTGTTTTTAAATGCTCCTGGGAGTATTGCATTTTCCCAAGGGCATTTTAAGACAATAAGTTATGCAAAATTTGGGGGGCAGACAGAGTGTATTAGGGGGAATTGGAAAATAGTCAATGTAAATTATACAAGTCTATGCAGAAACAGGTTCTGATCCATGTATATATCTCTTGGTATCCGCAATGACGTCATCAAACGACCAACTTGATCGGATGGTTTGACTGTCTTTACGCCTCTTTTGGTGATCAAGAAATACTTTTGGCGATAAATTTCGACGGCAGGAGTATTTTACAGAGACCATTGAAGGAATGTGTACCAGTGGCTTCAAAATAAGAGCAAAAATCGAGATAAACGAACATTTGTCAGTGCGTCTCACTTCGCAGACAATTTTGCTTAAGTCGCGGGTTATGCCTGTTGGAAGTGGGTTCCAGTTCGGCTTTCTACCGTCACAATGTTGCTTTCTCTTGAGATTTACCATTCAATTCATGTTACACCGAGCAAACCTACAGTGAGCTTGGTTCTTTTCCCGCCATTGGATCACACACTGGTTTCAGCTTCCGTAAATCAGACGGTCGTTGAAGCGGAATCCAGTGGTTTCACCCCGTAGTGAGTTCGCCCCCAACTAGTTCGCCGCGTAAGAAATTGAGTTCAATTCATAGTAGCTCATAGTGAATTAGCCTTGTAAAGAGTTAGCCCCATAACATGTTCAGAATTAACACCACGATCCATCAACCATTTCGAGTTTCCATCCGGCGACCGAAAGAATGCTAAAATGCTTCAAATAGAATCAAATAGGATAATGAAACAAACAAACAAGAAAAAAAGACAATAGACAAAGAATTAGGAGTCCACACGAGGGTTTGCGAGATCCGCACTTCCAGTATTATCAATTAGACTCTATGGGTATTTCCGATGAAATAGAAGTCGCGACGATCGCTATCGATGAAACGACGATCTTGATTAAATCAGCAATCGCATAGTCATTCCGATCAAGTTTGACAGTGTTGTAAGTAGTGCGATGATGGGAAACTAAAAAAAAAAAATTGCAACCATGAAACTGTGCTGCAAGTTCAGAGTTTTTTTGTTTTGCTTATTAAACCTTTATATATATATTTTTTGTTTTGTTTTGTTTTCTCGTTTTTTCGTCATTGAGGTCGTGGTTGCTGGAAATCGCCAGTAGCGTTACAACGGAACACAATTCTTAATATGCGACAATTTCGTTGAAAAACAGACGAATTGATGGAAAATGCGCGAGGTAAACGACGTCCGCAGGTACCATAGAGAGGCTCATTAATCAGTGCTCGTACCAGGACTGTTACATGGGAAGCATCAGGGCCCCATCTCCTGAAAAATAGACGAAGCTAGAAATACCGTGTATGTCAACGAAAACCACGTACAACGAATAACAAGAGCCCATACTTCAAATGGTCTTGTTAGAGTTGTTTTGTGGTCCACGAAGATGGCGACATGCCACTATGACACTCTGTACGCGAGTGACCAAGAAGGTTGAAAGATGTTTCAGATACAGATGGTTGGCTTTTTGCGCGGGTCACTATATAAGATTTGATCGAAACTCGGAAAAGCGCATGACATCTCTCCGGCCCCTAGGGTATCAAGAAGGAAGGAGCTAGCCCATTAAATTTTAATGATATATCTTTCATGTCTGTATGTTATGCTTTCTTTTAGAATGAGAAAACAACCAACTCAAAAGATTCGTTAGTCACAGGAATGACAGTCTCGTGCAACAACATCACTAATGAACAACGAATAAGACAGCTGAACACAACCATCAGATCTGAGCCGCCATCGCCCGTGTCCAGTTCAACCCCTGCTGCCCCGCCCATCGGCCTCCAAATCAAGGACGCACAGAAACCTCAACCTATTAACCTTCTGGATGGAACAACCTTGGATCAGACAGAAACACGTGCTTCATCCCCGCCCAAGTTTCAGCTGTCAGTCATGACACCTCAAGAGAAGATTGATTACTCAGCACTGATCGAGCAACTTGGAGGCCAAGTATTTGACACTGTTTACTTCAATCCTGATTGCACTCATGTTGTAGTCGGTAAACCAAATAGGTAAGTAGAGGAAAGCAAATGAAGAGTGAAAAAATAATTACATGTATTAGGGAGAGTAAACGAAGACGTTTTTGAGCGACACACGTCAACCGAAAGTGGACTTTTTGCATTCTTCGGAACTGATTTTGGCCAAATTTTCGACCAGATCGTCTCTATAAGAGTGAAGACACTTAGCAATATAAATTTGGTAACACCAAGGCATATTAAAAGGGAAAAGGCCTGACTACCTGTTGAGGTGCATCGCTCAAAAATGCCTTTTCCCTAAAAACCTTTTAACCTTTTATATTTTAACTTTTCTCTTATTAAAATTCCTCAGTCAAAATTAAAGACGGATTTGTGGAAAATACTGAAAACGAATGCTACAACGTGAAATACCGTAAAATTCCGAAAATAAGCCCCGGGGCTTATATTTTTCAAAGGCCCTTTCTGAGGGGCTTATTTTTGGAAGGGCTTATATTCGGAGGGACTTATCTACGGAGGGAAATTTGCGTTTCCAAATCGATTGGACTAGCTTTATAGTTGGAAGTAAATTCACCGTTTTTGCTTTGTTTTACTTTGTATTTGAGGGCAATTTTCCAAGTACAAGCCCCCGGGGGGGCTTATATTTGGAGGGGCGATTTAACGGAGGGTTTTTTGCGTTACCGGATTGGGGGGCTTATACATGGAGGGGCTTATTTTCGGAATTTTACGGTAACTCTCCAAAGGGTTTTATTTAAGATGTTACAAGCTGAAGAGTTCATCCTCAGAATTAAAAGTTAGAACTGGATAATTTCTATGCAATTATATTTTACCCAATAGATTAGAGTTCTTTTTAAAAATACCAAAATCTCTGTTTACAATAAGTAATTTGTCACCAGACAGTATATCATGGTCAAGGGCTCGCACAGTCTTGAAAAGTCCTTGAAATTTCTTCTACTCTGAATGTAGTTTCTTCTACTCTGAATGTAGTGGCCTTGAAAGTGTTTCTTTTTGTGCTTTTTGCGTTGGTTGTCCAAGGCAGAATATAAATCAATGCTCAGAGAATTAAGTTAAAGGTGATTTTCATAAGAGTTTTTTGTTTTATGCAATAATTAACTATCAATGAAAAAAAACGTTGGTGGAGCATACAGTTCAAGCCTTAAGTCCTGTTCAAATGGCCCGGGAATGTGCATTTTTGTGCAAGCCAATCTGTGAAATTACATTCCTGATAGGTGGTCCTTGAAAATTCCTTGGAAAGTCCCTAAAAAATAGTTGCAATTATTTGTATGAACCCTGGACTCACAGTAGCCTACCAACACCCTTTTAAACATGTTTTTGCTTGGTTTAAAGAAATGAAAAGTACCTGGCTGCGGTGGCTGCTGGAAAGTGGGTGCTTCATAAATCGTACTTGGAAGCCAGCAGGGAGGAAGGCTTCTTTGTTGACGAAGCTGGCCATGAATGGGGCGAAGAAATACCTGGAGAACCCTTCAATAAACTTGCAGCAGCCGCTCAACGCTGGAGGATTCGGCTTCGACAAGAACGAGCGGTAAGAAACAGTGATTTTTATTTTAGAGGGTGACAGAGCTGCATGTGACAGCAGCCTTTTCGGCGTTCAGATGGTGTGGTGCAAAGTCAAAGAGTTGGAAAAAATGATAAGGAGGAGTGAGAGAGAGGAGGGCACCTTCGCATCTCTTTGCACCGTCCACCACAATCCGAACAACTGGAACAGGCAACAATAAAAGTCATTGATTGGACAATGACCTACTGGAATTGAATCTTAACTGTGGTCTGGTATTAAGTTTGACAATGCCATTATCCAACCCTGAGCGCTTGTGAATGGTGGTACCGTCTCCGTTGTTCACATATATGGTTTTAATATATCCACAACTTCAAAGTAAGTCATTTTGAGTATATGTCTCTAATCAGTCTACCAGTGAACTACGTTTGTACCAGGCACAAATTTCGGGTAACGCGTCCTTGATTGACGGACCCAACTTTTGTTCTGTCCGACGAAAATGGTGGCTAAGTCAGACATATTTCCCTTGATGAAAGAATAATTGTTTTGCAACCCTGGGAGATAGGTGACAATGCAGATCCATCTCCACCAAAATACTTTCGGAGACGAAGAATTTGGTAAATTATTTAGATTCTCTTTTTCTCGTCCTGTATGTAGGCATCCTCGGTGGCTGGCCAAGGCACTTATTCCTGTGGTGCTTTTAGTGGTTGGGTGGTACTCCTGTGCGTGGACAAGTCTCGTCAACCAGGATTTAAACGTTTGTTAGAAGCCGGAGGAGCTAAAGTAACAGGAAGTAGGCCACCGTTCAAAAACACTCAGGACTTTTCTCACGCATTTCTTGGTAAGTATTTCGATATTTCTGGCGTTAAGCTCCGCCTAAACAGACGCAACATTGTTGTCCAACATCTCCCAACTTTGTTGCGTATCCTTGAGAGTTGTTGCGCAAAGTTTGAGACTTGTTCAGCTTTAATCCCACAAGGTTAACTTCCAACATTTCTTTTGTTCCGTGATCGCAGAAGCGAAGCGCAACAATGTTTGATCCGTTTTCTCAGCTCTTTCAACATTTTGGGGTCCACGCACGCGCATTACACGTGGTCCTTGAACTTCACTCATTTGTGTCACAGTATTATCGCTCGAGTTNGTTCCGTGATCGCAGAAGCGAAGCGCAACAATGTTTGATCCGTTTTCTCAGCTCTTTCAACATTTTGGGGTCCACGCACGCGCATTACACGTGGTCCTTGAACTTCACTCATTTGTGTCACAGTATTATCGGTCGAGTTCTTTTAATTTATCAATATTATGGCGGAGCGAGAAGGTGCAACAAGAACGCTCTCGTGTTTCCCTGAATTTGTCAAATGGTAATCCTTCCCATAATGCACTCCAAGTTCGCTGTGGTATCTGTTTGCCACCACTCAGAGCTGGAAAAGCGACTGTTGGACCATCGTCGTCCAGTAGTCCCGGACAAGTAGATTTACTTGCTAGACAAGTTACTTTTAAATTTTACTTACCCAATGGACAAGAAGCCAGACAAGTCATCCTCTAATAAATTCATTAACAAAGGCGAGCAAGAAGTGGCCCCGGGAAAGAAAATTGTGACAGCTGCTTGCACTAAGGACAATTTTAAATTCAAGTTTTTGTTCGAGCCCTGACCACTGCCAATACTATCCAACAACTCCCAACAATACTGGGCCAACAATAATCAAAGTTGTATGTTGCGTCTGTTTGCACGTAGTCTTAAAGAATGTGGAGATCAACGAAGGGAATAAAAGTATTAATGTTTAAAACCACACTAAATAGCATCGAGGCCGCGACTCAATATCTATCAATAGTTTGCAGCACAGACAACATAGTAACCTTTCGTTGGCAACGGCAACGTGTGGAGTCTGTTTCGATGTTGGGCTACAGCACGAAAGTTGAAAAAACGATTTTACAATTGAGAACAAAATTGAAAACGGCTTAATAACTTCCTCGTCGCCAGTCCCCGCTCGCCCTCTGCGAGCGGGAACTGATGGGATTGATTATGTATCTTTTATTATATCTATTTTGAAACTACTGGTGATCCCTACAAGCTGATTGCCACTCGGCAGTGGGATTTATTCACGAATCGCACTGTTTTTTGCTCCTAATTACATCGGGTCTAAATCGCACCATTTTTGCTCTATATCGCATCATCTGTTTCGAATACAAAATGAGATGTAAAAACCTTTTTGTTTCCACTTTTTCAGCAAACTGGCTACTAGATCACTATAAGTTTGGTACTGAAATATAATGAATTCTGCGATTTAAAAATAACTGTAGTAGAGTGGTAATTGAGCTTGGTGTCTTGCAATTTTGGTCTGAAATCATACTTGTGATTTTAAATCGAACTTGTGCGGCGCGCTGCGTCCGATTTTAAATTTCATACCAAATTGCACTCCACTCAGTTCAATAACCATTATTAATTTCGTTTTATTAATATTAGACATTGTTAAGCCCTTTTTATACATGGCATAAAATTTCATAATCTCCACAGTAGGACCAAAACTCATTCGCAAGTGATCAGGTCATGAAATTAGAAACCGCGAATAAATAACTTTTTCACCGTCAAGGCGTAAAAGTTAGGGTATGTGAGGTCGCCTAGAGTTGGAGGAGCGACCAGTGGGGGTGGGGATGGGCAGTCATACCATAGATTAGATCGTCGTTGAGTAGATCATTTGAAGAAATTGTCGCTGGACAAAACTCCCACGGTTATGGCAGACCACGAGCATGCATCTAAGTCGCCAAGGTTTAACATGCCGCCACTACGGATTGTATCAATCTTTCAATACATGCCCTCCTCTCAATGATATATTTTTTTAAAATTATTTTTATAACTATCGTTATCTGAATCCACAACAGCAAAATTATAAGTTTCGATTTTAACGGAGGGCTGTATAGGAAAAAAGAGCAGTTTATTTCTTATACCTCTCATGGCGCAGTACATTAACCAAAAACCTTGTGCCTTGAGCAATCATATTAGAAAAGCCAATGTTTTATTTTTGTTTTCAGATTTATCAAAAACAAAGGTGGAGGCTTCAGATCTAAGCTTGCTGCAGAGTGATAACGTTTGGTGCTTAAAGCCGGACTATATCGCTGAATACTTGATGCAAGATCCACCACCTCCCCCACAAAAATACTTGCTTCCTGAAATAGCTAAACTGGCTGAACCGGACAGAGCTGTTTCTTCTCAGTCAAGAAAACGAAAGGGGGAAGATGATATTTCAGGTGGTGATAAGAGAGCGCGCGTATGAGGAACAGAATTAACCGAGGATGTTTGCCTTTCAAGATCTGAAAACAAGAAAGACAACATCATCTTTTGACCTATAAAAAGTGCGAACTGATTGGGTCTGTAAGTTAATATAAGCATACAAATTCTTCTTCTTGTAGATGGAAAGATAAATGAACAGTGAATTAGTGAAAGGGTTATATCAGGCCATTAACGCCTTGCGTTTCTTTGTCCAAAATAGCATGTATATACTGAAATGATCAAATTTTATTGAACATGTACATTGTACATTATCGTTATCGCAGTCAGACATTTTTGTACGTTTTCAGGGTAATCGTATAAAACCTTCATCGCTTCCGTGTTGGCGAGCACTCTGCGCGTGTACGCGTGTCCCATGTACCTTGTGGAAAGACTACTCGTTTCCTCTTGTAGTAAAAAGCAGATATTTGTGTTTACTAACACTATAGTAGATTGTCTTTTTTACCTCGATTGAAAAGGCTTTTTTAATACGTTAGGTCATTAAAGAGTTTTAGAAGAATCTGTATTCATTGTCGAATTTTCGTTGTTTTGTGGGATTCACACTGTTTTCTATTTTTGCGACACCTGTTGAATTTTTTTACATACACATAGTTTTACTTGGCATGTATTACAAAGAGCAAAGACAATTTGAACGCAGTCGCTCCTCCATGAGCTACCACTTATCTAAAGAACAAATATTTTCCAGTCAAATCTTTACAGTTGGAACCTCTCGTAAACGACCAGCTCTTGTAAGCGACCACGTTCACTTTTTGGGGCTGACGGTCTTTTTTAACTTCCTATTGTTTTTAACCTCTTGTGAGCAACCACTTGATTTAAAGTCTGATGTCTAGGTTCGCTGTATGTACCATGCTACTCAGATTACACGAAGGGCGTTAAGTGACAACATGGAACTACGCATATCATAAAATTGAAATTGCACGCGATGAATTATCTGCCATGAAGTAGATGAGTCCGGAGGNAAATTCTTCTTCTTGTAGATGGAAAGATAAATGAACAGTGAATTAGTGAAAGGGTTATATCAGGCCATTAACGCCTTGCGTTTCTTTGTCCAAAGTAGCATGTATATACTGAAATGATCAAATTTTATTGAACATGTACATTGTACATTATCGTTATCGCAGTCAGACATTTTTGTACGTTTTCAGGGTAATCGTATAAAACCTTCATCGCTTCCGTGTTGGCGAGCACTCTGCGCGTGTACGCGTGTCCCATGTACCTTGTGGAAAGACTACCCGTTTCCTCTTGTAGTAAAAAGCAAATATTTGTGTTTACTAACACTATAGTAGATTGTCTTTTTTACCTCGATTGAAAAGGCTTTTTTAATACGTTAGGTCATTAAAGAGTTTTAGAAGAATCTGTATTCATTGTCGAATTTTCGTTGTTTTGTGGGATTCACACTGTTTTCTATTTTTGCGACACCTGTTGAATTTTTTTACATACACATAGTTTTACTTGGCATGTATTACAAAGAGTAAAGACAATTTGAACGCAGTCGCTCCTCCATGAGCTACCACTTATCTAAAGAACAAATATTTTCCAGTCAAATCTTTACAGTTGGAACCTCTCGTAAACGACCAGCTCCTGTAAGCGACCACGTTCACTTTTTGGGGCTGACGGTCTTTTTTAACTTCCTATTGTTTTTAACCTCTTGTGAGCAACCACTTGATTTAAAGTCTGATGTCCAGGTTCGCTGTATGTACCATGCTACTCAGATTACACGAAGGGCGTTTAGTGACAACATGGAACTACGCATATCATAAAATTGAAATTGCACGCGATGAATTATCTGCCATGAAGTAGATGAGTCCGGAGGTCTTAACGGAAGAGAAACGTGATTTGATTTTCGTAAGGCGACCACTGACTCTTCGCTTTATGGTAACTTACGGCAAGTTTGACTTTGTAAATAAAACGTAATGCCGCAAAGTCAAACGTTCTTTTAATTCAGAATCACAGCTGTGACACATATTTTACTCCTTACACCTTGTTAATTACAATATAATAACCGTAGTAATTCCTGTTTTATCGTGTTTTTCTTGTCCTCTGTTATTCAGAAGCCAAAGGGCATTCTTCAACGTCTTTGCCAAAATCTTGCGTTTGTGAAATTGTGAGTTGTGTTTGGGTTATTTCTCTTTGCCTCATACCTTCCACACTGTGTTTATAACCATAACCAAAGTATACAAGGAGTCCTGAAACGATTAAAGAGCATGAAGATTATTAGCACATTTTAGACATTCTAACTGCAAAACGGCTACCATTTTATCAACGCTTAAAGGAATTGTTTTTGACTCCCGTGTTAAGAGCCCTCGCGCATGCTGTGATTGTCTTGCCTTAACCGAGTTTGGGGGACCCCAGGAAGGTGAGGTAACCCGCTTAGGTGGAGTAACCCGCCTGTCCATATAATCTCTCATTTTAATTTGATCACGTTTACATGATAGGTGGGTTGCTCCGCCACATGTTACCTCACCTATCTCGGGTCCCCCACCTCCATGTAAACAGGCCCTTAGCGAGCCAAAGTGTTTTAATAATTTATATGGAGAAAAGTTAGCCCGGCTAAGAGGATGACCCTTCCATGCAAAAAGGGCGACTCGGCTGGTATGGGAGGGTCACCCTTCTAGCCAAGCAAACTTTTTTGTTTCTCACGTCAACGGTACACCGTGTTTTGTAAGAAAATGTAGGAAAAGTTGGCTTGCAGAAGAAAGCTCGGGTAGGCGACGAACGTTCTATTCCCAGGGCAAGTTTTCTCCACATAAAAGGGGTCTAAGCGTACTGAACCAAACCTTCCCATGGCTAGCCTGAGAAACGGGCGCAGGAATTCCATACTGATGACGTGTTACTACCCAGATTTGGGTAGTGCTTTTGATTGGTTTTGCCGCGTGGGAAATTTGTTTCAACCAGTCAGAAGCACTACCCAGATCTGGGTAGTGACGTGTCATCAGTATGGAATTTCTGCGCTCGTTTCTTAGACGTCATTTGGCGGGGAAACCGTTGGTGGCGTCGCGAGATGTCGGCTGTTTTTTCAGGCTATCCATGGCATGTATGATACATGAAATGATAGCCGATTCAGGTAGATCACACCCACACCGATGAAACGTTCCCTACCTTTTTTAACAGCCGTGTGTGTGTGCTCATTTGCATCCTTATGAATCACTAAATCAGAGCACGACGAAGGGAGAAAAGTCAGAGTTCTACTAGTCTGCTCCACAGCCGTTCTTTGAGTCAAAAAAGCTGTGAAGCGGACTAGAGCTTTGAACTGGGTCGGGATTTAAAAGATACTTAAAATTAATTGAAGGCAAGGCTGATCGGACAGGTAAGGATTGGTAATTTATTTGCCCAATTTTTCGACAAGACAAAACTAGTCTTCATCAAGGGCTTGAAAAGCTAAGTGAGAATAGAATAAACAGTCACAGTATTTACTAGTTTTGTCTTGTCGAAGTATTGGGCAAATAAATTACCAATCCTTAGCTGTCTGATCAGCCTTGCCTTCAGTTCTAAGTGTTATCCTGATCTAGACCAAGATCCGGCTTTCCGCCGCTGCTGTTTGTCTAAGGGGTTCTTGCAAGAATTGTCCGCTAAATTCAAAGATAGCCCATAGGCCATTTCCGAGTTCCCCCAGGCCTCTGTATCAAGACGAGGTCAAATGCTCAGCTTTTGACTGATGAAAATGAGATTTCATTCTCATGCAAATAAAACTCATTTTCACAAGAAAGGTTGTGCGCTTGGCCTCATTTTGAAAGTGAGGACTTTTGGAACTCGGAAGTAGCCTATTAAGTCCATGGTCAGTGACCCTTTCGGGTTTTGAACTTGAGCCTCCCCTTTAGCATGGCAGCCGTCAACTATCCGGGCGTCACCCGTCCCCCACCCCCACCCAAAACCGCTTCAGTCGGCAATAACTCACCTAGAGCCGTCCACACACCAAAACGGATGTATGTCCAAGGACTCAAGTTTACTATTAGTAGAACATTGAAGAATATTGCAATGGCTGGAACGAATGGCACTCCCGGGACGGTGAACGGAAACGTAGCGGAATTTTTTGGCTGTCTGATAATATACATCAAAGAGGCGACAATCTGTAAGCCAAAACTACAGCAAAGAAGGATTGCCCAGGCCTCTGCTCGGCCTAAGTATGAATAAGTACGAGTCAGACAAATTAAGAATGCTGTTATGGATACAAGCAGTGTGAACACACCAACGCGAGCGCGAGTACTTGTTTTCTCGTCTGGTTCCGCTTTACTGCTCCTGATTTCTTCGTCGATGTTTTGCACCTGTCTGTAGCTAATATCCGCCCTGTCATCTGTTTCGTCTGAGCTACAACAGAGCGTCTTCATCCACGTTTTGGTTGTCTTGTCTCTGTCGTTTTCCAAAGTTACACTTTCAACACCAGGAGTATATCTCGTGACGAGAACAGCAATTACTACCATAGTGTAAGCCATTAACGTGCCAATGGACAACATCTCAACCTAAAGGAAACGAGAAAGCATGGATTTCAATAAGACCATGTAACCGAAGGGCATGTGTTGAAATCGAGTGAGTAGCTCGAAATTCGATCAATGATGCCCTTACACGATTTTAAACAACACTTTTCTCTTAGTGGTGTAGAAAAAAAAAATAGTAACAGTAGTAAATCTTACCAGCTGTTTGAGGTCCAGTAGTAAGGCCAAGGATGCAATCAAAACTCCACTAGCCAAAGCTGCCCGAACAGGTACTATTGTGGTGTCGTGCACATGCGCAAACCAGTTATACAGCAAGCCATCACTTGCCATGGAGTACAAGATACGTGGGACTGAAAATATGGCGGTCAGCAGACTACTCACAGTTGCGCAGAGCCCTCCAATTGCCACGACATACTTTGCGGCGCGGAATCCTCGTTGGGCAAAGGCTTGAGCCAGAGGTGCAAACTGACTGAGCTGATTATAAGGTATCATGAGAGTGAGAACTGTGGCGACTCCAAAATACGCAAGAAAACTGATCACAATCGTTAGGATGATCGATAATGGTATTGAACGCTTGGGGTTTAACGCCTCTTCGCTCGCTGTACCAATGACGTCAAAGCCCACAAAGGCATAAAAACAACCTCCAGCGGCTTTTAGAACTCCATTCACTCCGTAAGGGGCAAATGCCTGCCAGGTTTTTCCTTCAACAAAGTATAAGCCAACGCAAATAATGAAAATGACGACAGAAAGATTTATAAACGTCATGACCTTGTTAAACAGTGAGGACTTTACGGCACCTAAAGACACTATACACGAAATTACTAACGCGACAGCCATGGCCAGGAAATCAGGAAAACTGCCGAGTGCTGGAACATTCCACTTAGCGATGTCCTCCATGAAGAAATTGTATATAGAGCCTTGGGCAAAGGAATTGATATACTCACTGCACGCTCGTGCCAAGCTTGCGGCCGCGATTATATATTCCAAAATCATGTTCCAGCCCACAAAAAATGCCCAGAACTCTCCAACAGTCGCGTAAGAGTAGACGTAGGCAGAGCCAGCCCTAGGTATTCGACAACCAAACTCGGCGTAACAAATCCCAGAAAAGAGAGCAGCTACTCCAGCAATAAAGAAGGAGACAACAACAGCTGGTCCTGCAACGTCACGTGCCAACTCTCCCGTAACTACATACAAACCTGCACCAAGAACTGCAGCCACGCCAAGAGAGGTCAGGTCCAAAGTGGTTAGACATCTTTTCAGGGGGGTCTCTCCGAACCAGTTATCTTCAATCTTCTTTCGCGTTAAGATGTCGCAAATTTTGGAGAAACGATTCATATCTGAAAATTACAAGCATGGTATAAAGTCAATTCTATGATAATTCTAGAAGAAAGAGAAATTTAACATCGGATAGCTCAGAAAATTTTTCTAGCTCCAGCTGAGATTTGAACTCACAACCCTCCGAGTTTTAGATCAGCTGTTCTAACCACTGAGCTGCTGAAGCCACTGTGGAGAGTAAAGGCGAAATTTAAAAGATTACAATTACATCAACCATTGAGGACCTTCCTCTTATTTTTTCGAAATTTCAACAACATGGGCGCATTTACGTGTCGGCAGGAGCCCCAAACCCTGGTGTCGGATAATTAGAGTGCAAAACGTGTTACAGTGAATCTTAAGACGAAAGGGCGTCTGCCGGCACTTGCAGGCTAGTGTTAGCTTGTTCAATACTAAGGGTATCCAATAGGATACCCTCGAATCCCGTACCGCGTCATACCGATCCAAATTTTCGCGCAATTCCATAATCTGGATGGTTATTTTCGGCATCCCGCATTCCATACACACGTTCAATCCCGAATCTGGTTCCCATTTTTCATTAAAAATCCGAATCCCGCCCTTCAAATACGG